GCTATGAAGGATGATTTTTTATGCATTTTTGAATATGCAACCTGACTATCACGAGTGTGGACTGAATACAAGTTTTCTTTAAAATCTGAAGATTTCTACAGTAAATCTGTCTGAAATGTGGCACACAGGTACAGTGGGTGTTCCAGAGTAAGGATGTGGTGAAAGTTGTACATCAGCTATGACGGATTATTTTTTATGAATTTTTGAATATTAACCAGACTGTCACTAGTGTGGACTGAATACAAGTTTTCTGTAATATCTGAAGATTTCTACAGTAAATCTGTCTGAAATGTGGCACACAGGTACAGTGGGTGTTCCAGAGGAAGGATGCGGTGAAAGTTGTACATCAGCTATGAAGGATGATTTTTTATGAATTTTTGAATATGCAACCTGACTGTCACGAGTGTGGACTGAATACAAGTTTTCTTTAATATCTGAACATTTCTACAGTAAATCTGTGTGAAATGTGGCACACAGGTACAGTGGGTGTTCCAGAGGAAGGATGTGGTGAAAGTTGTACATCAGCTATGAAGGATGATTTTTTATGAATTTTTGATTATGCAACCAGACTGTCACGAGTGTGGACTGAACACAAGTTTGCTGTAATATCTTAAGATTTCTACAGTAAATCTGTGTGAAATGTGGCTCACAGGTACAGTGGGTGTTCCAGAGTAAGGATGTGGTGAAAGTTGTACATCAGCTATGAAGGATGATTTTATATGAATTTTTGAAAAATGACATAATTCTATTGACTGTATTGAGCTGAATATAAGTTTGCTTTAATATCTGAAGATTTCTACAGTAAATCTGTCTGAAATGTGGCACACAGGTACAGTGGGTGTTCCAGAGGAAGGATGCGGTGAAAGTTGTACATCAGCTATGAAGGATGATTTTTTATGCATTTTTGAATATGCAACCTGACTATCACGAGTGTGGACTGAATACAAGTTTTCTTTAAAATCTGAAGATTTCTACAGTAAATCTGTCTGAAATGTGGCACACAGGTACAGTGGGTGTTCCAGAGTAAGGATGTGGTGAAAGTTGTACATCAGCTATGACGGATTATTTTTTATGAATTTTTGAATATTAACCAGACTGTCACTAGTGTGGACTGAATACAAGTTTTCTGTAATATCTGAAGATTTCTACAGTAAATCTGTCTGAAATGTGGCACACAGGTAGAGTGGGTGTTCCAGAGTAAGGATGTGGTGAAAGTTGTACATCAGCTATGACGGATGATTTTTTATGAATTTTTGAATATTAACCAGACTGTCACGAGTGTGGACTGAATACAAGTTTTCTTTAAAATCTGAAGATTTCTACAGTAAATCTGTCTGAAATGTGGCACACAGGTACAGTGGGTGTTCCAGAGGACGGATGTGGTGAAAGTTGTACATCAGCTATGAAGGAATTTTCGTAATAAATTGTTGAATATGCAACCAGACTGTCACGAGTGTGGACTGAATACAAGTTTTCTTTAATATCTGAAGATTTCTACAGTAAATATGTCTGAAATGTGGCACACAGGTACAGTGGGTGTTCCAGAGTAAGGATGTGGTGAAAGTTGTACATCAGCTGTGAAGGATGAATTTTTATTAATTTTTGAATATGCAACCAGACTGTCACTAGTGTGGACTGAATACAAGTTTTCTTTAATATCTGAACATTTCTACAGTAAATCTGTGTGAAATGTGGCACACAGGTACAGTGGGTGTTCCAGAGGAAGGATGTGGTGAAAGTTGTACATCAGCTATGAAGGATGATTTTTTATGAATTTTTGAAAAATGACATAATTCTATTGACTGTATTGAGCTGAATATAAGTTTGCTTTAATATCTGAAGATTTCTACAGTAAATCTGTGTGAAATGTGGTACACAGGTACAGTGGGTGTTCCAGAGGAAGGATGTGGTGAAAGTTGTACATCAGCTATGAAGGATGATTTTATATGAATTTTTGAAAAATGACATAATTCTATTGACTGTATTGAGCTGAATATAAGTTTGCTTTAATATCTGAAGATTTCTACAGTAAATCTGTCTGAAATGTGGCACACAGGTACAGTGGGTGTTCCAGAGGAAGGATGCGGTGAAAGTTGTACATCAGCTATGAAGGATGATTTTTTATGAATTTTTGAATATGCAACCTGACTGTCACGAGTGTGGACTGAATACAAGTTTTCTTTAAAATCTGAAGATTTCTACAGTAAATCTGTCTGAAATGTGGCACACAGGTACAGTGGGTGTTCCAGAGTAAGGATGTGGTGAAAGTTGTACATCAGCTATGACGGATTATTTTTTATGAATTTTTGAATATTAACCAGACTGTCACTAGTGTGGACTGAATACAAGTTTTCTGTAATATCTGAAGATTTCTACAGTACATCTGTCTGAAATGTGGCACACAGGTAGAGTGGGTGTTCCAGAGTAAGGATGTGGTGAAAGTTGTACATCAGCTATGACGGATGATTTTTTCTGAATTTTTGAATATTAACCAGACTGTCACGAGTGTGGACTGAATACAAGTTTTCTTTAAAATCTGAAGATTTCTACAGTAAATCTGTCTGAAATGTGGCACACAGGTACAGTGGGTGTTCCAGAGGACGGATGTGGTGAAAGTTGTACATCAGCTATGAAGGAATTTTCGTAATAAATTGTTGAATATGCAACCAGACTGTCACGAGTGTGGACTGAATACAAGTTTTCTTTAATATCTGAAGATTTCTACAGTAAATATGTCTGAAATGTGGCACACAGGTACAGTGGGTGTTCCAGAGTAAGGATGTGGTGAAAGTTGTACATCAGCTGTGAAGGATGAATTTTTATTAATTTTTGAATATGCAACCAGACTGTCACTAGTGTGGACTGAATACAAGTTTTCTTTAATATCTGAACATTTCTACAGTAAATCTGTGTGAAATGTGGCACACAGGTACAGTGGGTGTTCCAGAGGAAGGATGTGGTGAAAGTTGTACATCAGCTATGAAGGATGATTTTTTATGAATTTTTGAAAAATGACAATTCTATTGACTGTATTGAACTGAATATAAGTTTTCTTTAAAATCTGAAGATTTCTACAGTAAATCTGTCTGAAATGTGGCACACAGGTACAGTGGGTGTTCCAGAGGAAGGATGTGGTGAAAGTTGTACATCAGCTATGAAGGATGATTTTTTATGAATTTTTGAATATGCAACCTGACTTGCACGAGTGTGGTCTGAATACAAGTTTTTTTTTAAATCGGAAGATTTCTACAGTAAATCTGTCTGAAATGTGGCACACAGGTACAGTGGGTGTTCCAGAGTAAGAATGTTGTGAAAGTTGTACATCAGCTATGACGGATTATTTTTTATGAATTTTTGAATATTTACCAGACTGTCACTGGTGTGGACTGAATACAAGTTTTCTGTAATATCTGAAGATTTCTACAGTAAATCTGTGTGAAATGTGGTACACAGGTACAGTGGGTGTTCCAGAGGAAGGATGTGGTGAAAGTTGTACATCAGCTATGAAGGATGATTTTTTATGAATTTTTGATTATGCAACCAGACTGTCACGAGTGTGGACTGAACACAAGTTTGCTGTAATATCTTAAGATTTCTACAGTAAATCTGTGTGAAATGTGGCTCACAGGTACAGTGGGTGTTCCAGAGGAAGGATGTGGTGAAAGTTGTACATCAGCTATGAAGGATGATTTTTTATGAATTTTTGATTATGCAACATGACTGTCACAAGTGTGGACTGCATACAAGTTTGCTGTAATATCTGAGGATTTCTACAGTAAATCTGTCTGAAATGTGGCACACAGGTACAGTGGGTGTCCCAGAATCATAATGTGGTGAAACTTGTACATCAGCTATGAAGGATGATTTTTTATGAATTTTTGAATATGCAACCAGACTGTCACGAGTTGGGCAGTTCCCTGTTCAAAATGCCGTACCGCAAAGACCGTTGTAAACGCGCAATGAAATTTTCGCGGCGGATAAGATGCGGCTGGCTTGACCGCGGCTCACAATTGTCGGCTCACTTGACCGCGGTTGCTAGTTGTGTGCAGTCGGTAAGACGGCTGTCTTTGATGACGTCACGCGCTCTTTGCTTTAATTTGTCACGCGTCACGTGATGTACGGTCGTCCAGCGTCAGCGTAAGAAGTGATCGGTACCACGCATGCGCGACAGGCGTCTACTTCCGCTCGAAGCATTTTACGATAGTTACGGGTCAGAGTATCTGTTAAGACGTTAAAAAATAATAAGTATCTATTAAAATGTTTGCAATAGTGAAACATTTCAATATAATGTAGATAAAAAGAAAAAAAAAGAAAACGTCGGACCGTACAGATCGGGTCTACCGCGCATGTGCAGATGCTATATTCGTCTTGTGATCCGTTCAATGGCAGTTTACTCCGCAGTGTACGAGGATACTGCCACTTGCTGACCGAGCGAATAAGCCCGATTGTAAACTGAATTTGCGTTGTTACAAATCGTGTTTTTACATGCGTGTTAAATTTGATTTAGTGTGTTTATGCTTGTATGTGTGGAGACGATTGATTTGAATTATCTTGATGTTCTGTTGATAATGTCCACTGTAAATTGTCAGTAAACACTGGCTGATTAGTCTTCAGGTAACCTATTACATGTTTGTTTTTTCTCCACACAATAGGTTATATTTTCATTTAAAAGCTGAAAATATGTCACTGTGATACAGCAGATATTCTTAATTTGCACTACATGTCCTATGAATGTTTTCCCATATGAAATGTAATATATTCTTGCACAAAAGCCAATTTGGCTCATCACCTAAAATTTTACTTTCTACTTTTGTGTTAGATTTCTTAGTTTGCCACTTTGTCTTGAAATAACTTAATTCTTTGTAATACCATAGTGATCATTTTCACAATGTTGCAAAATTAATGTTTGAAAATAGTTTCTCAAGGTATTCATAGGTTAAACATGTTAAATACGGATTTAACTACACTCATGTTTATATCCATATAAAATAACACAGGTCCACTTTATAATTTCCACAGGTTTACTGTAATAATGCAGAACACAAACAACAGATTACAAGAGCATGAACAACAGAAAAAGGATTGAGAGGATGGTTACAACCCAGATTATTTGAATAAGGAGACACATATTGATGGAAATAAAAAGCTTTTTATTTTCAGCCTGTCCTTTCTGGCAGTGTGGTACTCTGAGTACCAGGTACAAGCCCAACAGATTCACTTTCTCAAACAGAGTGTTACAGTGTGTGTCCTGTCACAGTGTCCCGATTGATCATGCGCCCTGGCTACTTGACCAAGGGGATGTCCCTTTGGCTGACTGGTTAGAGTGTATGACTCTCACCCGGGAGTCTGGAGATCGAATCCCGCCCGGGCCCTCGTTTATCCACCTTGCCACAAGAGCATTACAGTTTTTGCTATAGAACTCCAAGAAGAATGATCAAAAACTCTCACAAAGAAAAACAGGCATCAAAGCACAAACCAAGATGTGGGAGAACCACTGATGGGGAACCTGGTCACTACAACCAGTGTGGTGTGTGTGTGTGTTCTTGTACATACTACATACTGAGGACCATTTTGACCATTTTCCCTACAAAGTGAGGACATTTTTTGGTCCTCGCTTTTTTTAGAAGCATACCAGAAGCTTACTATACCAGTTAGAGGCATAGTGTGAATTAAGTTTTAGTTAAGGTTAGGGTTAGGAAAAGATAAGCGTTGGTTATGGTTAGGGTTGGGGTATGGGTTAGGCATGGTGAAATCACAAAAATGAATGGAAGTCAATGAAGGGTCCTCACTATGATAGAAAGACAGACGTGTGTGTGCGTGCGTGTGAGTGTGTGGTTGTGTGTGGAGACGGGGGCGGCGACAGAGCAGACACATTAATTGTTCATTTGGCTGCAAAAGTGGCTGCAGTAGCCTGGGAGCATCTCCTCCGAGTAAAGTGCCCTTGGTTCTCCTCTTTTTCCTTTCCCTTCCCCAGGTCATCACCATGGACAGGGAAGCTTGCCGGAGGGCAGTGGAGAGGTTATGCTTCTGTGATGGCCTAGATGAAGAGGAGATAAACGATTGCAGGGAACCGTTCCTGTTCATGTTTAGTTTTCAGTCAGACTATGAGGAGTTCTGCAGAGAAATTGAGGAAAAAAGGAAGATCAGGGTGTTTTCTGGCTTTGAAATGCCATAGTACAGCGGTGTCACAGTTTTTGCATTCTTTTTCCTCCTCACATTGTTTTTTTGGAGGTTCTCTTGCTTTTTGTGTGCTTTTTGGTTCATTTGTTTGTACTTTTTTTTTCCTGTGTTGGCTGTTTGCTCTATTAAATTTACCTTTATTGAAAAATTTAGTCTGCATTCTTGGGTGTCTCACACAATGTCTCACCACCCCGCCTCAAACCCTGGCATGTTTTAAGAAGTATCAGCACAATTTAAGTCTCTGGTCCTCTTAATGTAGCTGATATAACTGAGTGTACAACAAATGTACCCGTGTCTGTACTGTTTTACACTCACTTGGGAAATGACTATTAAAATAAAGGCGGCATTGATAAAATCAACTATTAAAATGGTTTTGACAGGTTTAAAGAATAGTCTATCAAATGCCTGAACCTTTTATATAGGTACCAAAAGTATAGCTAAAAGACACAAATACCTATGTGCTATAAATACACATACCATACAAAAGTAGAAAAAAGAATAAAAATATCAGAACAGATTGGATCAAAAATGGCACCTGTAATTATCTGCTCTTTAAAATTATCATGACATCCAGCAAATAAGTCATTTGATTACCAATGTTATGCTTTACATGGGTTTTGTGGGTTTTTAGGGCTTTTTAATCCTTAGAAAGGGGCTACTCGCGGTTTCCTGGTTCCATTGAGAGAGGGGCAGGAGTCAAATAGTTGTCTCCACCCACCTCTAAACGTTTAACTCCGCCCACATTTAGCCCCGCCCCGATCTCCGGGATGCAGCCAGGGGCTACTCGTAGTTGGGGAACTGCCCGCCCTGGTGGTACCTTGAATACTATTTTTCTTTTCATTAAAAAAAAACAACAACACAGATTGAAAACCTAAAAGTGGTCATTATATTTCTCATTATATAAAAGTAGATATCGGCCAAATTACGTTGCCCCAAAGAAGAGAATCATCTTGAGCGTCTTTGGATGATGGTTCTGACATTTGAGATGAGTTGTAGTCACAAAAAAATAAAATAAAATAAAATAAACTAATAAAAAAAATTCTGAACAGATAGAAGTTCAAAAATTAAACGTACGCTTAAATACATAAAATTTGTAGGTTACAGACAACAGATCTGAGTGTAAAAAGGAAATATTTTATTATAGATTTGTAATTATGTATACATACATTAGAATAATTATCTACAGTTTTAATTTAATAAATATAATACTTAGTTAACCCATTATTTACGTGTTTTACATTAGTAGTTTGTCCTTTACCAGATCTGGTAATAGGGTTTAAAAGTAAGAGGTAAAGAGGATTACTAACTAGATAAACTACCAATAAATGACATTTTACATTAATTTATTTTATTCTGGCCTTGTGACACTTATGACATGAAAATAATAGTGTATTTAGAAAAAAAAAACTACATAAATTTTAGTATTATACACTTAATTTCTTTTACTGTCATGATCATCATGTACATAATATACATAATTGTAATTTTTTTTTTCAAAAAAAGCTTGTAGACTCACGGATGTCAAACATTAGTAGTTTTTATTCTTTTTGTGCTGCCTGGCATGCAGTGACCCAAACTGGTCCTGGTCCTTGGCCCAGTGGTTTTGGAGCCCTGTTGTAGATTACATCATGAACAGCCTCAGTTCAGAAAAACAGAGTTTACATCCATCAGGATTGATGAGCTAACAGCTAGTCAAAGACCAAAGGATGATGCTGTCATTCAGAAACTCCTCATTCTTCTCCACAGGTTTCTGTCACTACCTAAGCAGTTGTCTGCCACAGATACAGTACATGTGTGTGTGTGTGTGTGTGTGTGTGCGTGTGTGCGTGTGTGTGTGTGTGTGTGTGTATGACTGATTAAAACCCATAACAAACTGACAGGAAACTGATCAAAACATTTACATAATTTGAACCAACAGGAATTGCAGCTGAGCTGAAGATGAAGTAAGTGCTGGCTGAGACATCGGTTCCTGTAAGATATAAACAGCATGTTAACTTTGTCCAATAAAGATGAATGAACAACACAAATCATTGTTTAGTGCTTTTGTTTCATTTCTTTACATCAGTAAACACATCTAAATTTACTTAAAACTGTTGTTTTATTTCATTTTCTAACATTTGAAAAATTCAGTGTTTGAAAAACAGGAAGTGGCCATGTCAGAAATGCATGAAGAAGTTTTACTAAAAGATGTTTTAAGTCGAGGCTGCGCAGTGACACAGTGGTTAGAGCTGTTGCCTTGTAGCAAGAAGGTCCTGGGTTCGATTCCCGGCCTGGGATCTTTCTACATGGAGTTTGCGTGTTCTCCCTGTGCATGCGTGGGTTTTCTCCTGGTATTCCGGCTTCCTCCCACAGTCCAAAAACATGACTGTTGGGTTGACTGGTCTGTCCAAATTGTCCTTAGGTGTGAGTGTGTGTGTGTGTGATTGTTTGACCTGTGTGTCTCTGTGTTGCCCTGCGATGGACTGGCTCTCTGTCCAGGGTGTACCCCGCCTGATTGCCCATTGGCCGCTGGAGATAGGCACCAGCCCCCCCGCGACCCTATGTGGACTAAGCGGGTTCAGAAAATGGATGGATGGAAGTTTTAAGTCATTATCTAATTAGCTAATAAAAATAAGCAGCATGCAAACTGTCTTAAACCCAAGTTCTGTTTGCATTTGTTTATTTAGCAGATGAGTTATCAAAAGTCATGTATAACAGATAAAGCAATGAAGTAAACATCAAGCATGTTTTTGGTGTGTAGGAGAAAAACCTCACATGCATGAAGAGTACATGCTAAATCTGCCCAGAAACGCTGCAGCCGGGTCTTAAACCTGCAACCCTCTAAGGCAACGGGACTACCAACTGTGCCACTATGCAGGTTTAAAATAGCAAAGAAGGGACAAGTATAAGTTTCACTTTCAGTTCATTGAACCCACAGTGTAAATGGCTGCAAGCAGGTGGATTGTCAACGTCACTCATTCAATCGCACATAAGTGGGCATTAACCCGGATGTGGACGTGGCGTTGGCATTCCACCTGGCTTGGCATGTTGCAGCAGACCAAACTTCCAAGTAAGTGCGGGTATTTTGACTAAAATTGATTAAATAACAACATGTCACCCTAACAAATAATTGTACATTTAGTCTATGGTCTTGCTGTGCCAAGCCTCTGCGTGACATTACTTTGATTGCACCCCATGGCAAGAGGAGCAAGGTATTTGTTCTTTGTTTCTGTTTGTTGCTCCTGATTGTCCGCGATTGTCTTTAATTTGTTTGTGAATTATGTATTTTCAGTTTTCACGGTGTTTGCACAGTGACTGGCACCAGGTGCTCGGTGCGATTCTGAGAATGAGATGTGTGCATCTACAGCCTGATGCAAATAAAAAGTTGCACCCGTCGAAGCTCTCCTCCTTATTTCTCTTGGATGCCAAGGGGCAGCAACACACAGCTACAGTAGCTCAACATCTCATAAAGTGGAACTGCTGGTATGTGTGCTGGGAGGTTTGGATGTGTTTCGTTTTATGCCTTCAGACATGACTCTGATTGTGTGGCATGTGTGTTTGGAACACAGTTATGTTGTAATGGCATGCCATAAGAGTCAAAGAAAGATAAAAACCAAACCTGTCACTCTTGTTTCAGTCTCTGCGAGCACCAAACTGTTCTGGATCCTGCAGCTGTAGGTCTCGCTGACCTGGGCCGACTCAAACACACTGACAACGCCGACAATTCCTTCTGAGTTTTCTGTGAAACTTGTGTTTGCACTCAGGATATCTCCAGTTTGGTTCAGCCATGTGACGCTCGGTTTCGGGAACCACCTGCTGGCCTCGCCGGTCAGCGTGCCATTAGAGAACTTGAATGTTGGAGCTGAAAATGCTGAGACAAGGTCACACTGCGGTGAGACGTGCTGATGTCATAAACTAAAACCATCACACCAGGTTTAGTGTCCAAGTAAACAAAGTGAAACTGAAAGGGCGAGTCATCTTACCGGCTGTCCTCAGCTGAATGATGATGCTGCCTCGGGCTGCTGAGGAGCTGACGCTGCAGGTGTACTCGCCCTCATCACCGCCTCTCACATTCCGCAGCAGCAGAGAGGCATTCCCCGTTGCCACAGCAACAGGGAAGACCTGGGCCCTGCCTGTGAACTGTGAAGCCTGACCAGCAAGAGCTGGAGCTCCATTACTGTACTGGTAAACCAGTCCCAGGTCCTTCTTCTCCCAGGTGACCGACACGTCGCCGAGTCTTGTCTGCTGACTTTGTGAGGAAACAAAGCAGCTGAGAAGCTCGTCCTCCCCTAGGTTGGCGACGGGTTTTGTGTTGCTGCTTGTCACCTTAGATGTGGATTCTGTGGGCAACAGCATGCTTTCGTAAGGCAGGTTGTTTTTGTAATGTTTATTTTTATTTTACTCTCTCGATAAAGACTCCACCGCTAACCTTTTAAAACTATTGGGCATGATTAGGCAATGATGTTGCTGTCTTTAACCTTGCTGAATGAGGTTTGCATAATGCTTCTTATCTTTAAATGTTTTCCTGCCCTCCCTACGCATGATTAAGTTCATACAACCACCCTGCCACATACACCCACGATCTTGACACAACTCCTCCAGTCCTATGTAGCCATGTGCTAGCATGATATTGATGGTGTGATGAAGCATGAAGTCAGCACGACCAGTCCTGCTTCCCATCCTCAGCAACCAAGACCAAGCTAGTTGTCATTGCTTCCACTCACCCCACCAAGATGCTATCATGACAATAAACCACTGCCTCACGATATAAACTCTGCATGTTCAAACCTATAGTGTGAGGACTTATGCAGGTTAGACTGATGTCAAGTAGAGCAACAAAGAAGTCACGTCTCCTCTGAAGGACACATCAGAGGTAGACCTCCCCACACACTTCAGAGATTATTCAGGCTATGTCAGGTTGGCAAATTTCTGTCCTTGATGAGCCCAGATTAGGATGTTAAAAATGAAGCTTTTCTTAATCTAATTGTCTAAGTTAAGCCCAACGCAAGTTGTTGAAATTCAGGACTGAGGTAGTCATATTCTCAGCTAAATCCCAAACATCCTGAGTCGTGTGTACGTGGGGGGTAGGGGTTTCTTCTCAGCCAAGGGAGTGGACTCACTCAGTTTGGCTTTAGAAAAAGCAAATAAAGAATGGTACCTTAACATCCTCCCAGAGGAACTCCTCCAACCATCCAACAAGTTTAATGACAATGTCTGCTGCACCATGAAGGAACAACAGGCCAGATGTATAGAGTCAGAACTAAGTGGATCAGGGACTAAATATCAACAGTTTGGGTCTAAGTCCTGGAAATTTCCAAGAGAACTTGTGGTCAGTCTTCAAAAAGCGCTCAGACAAACCAAACTAACAAACAATGGGCTTTGATGATGAAGAGTGAGCTCTATCAGTCTGCAGAAGTTGATTAAAGTTAGAATATGGAACATTTTAATAAAAAGCTATATTAAAAATAATACCTCCCTGGGCATTTAAAAGTGTGCAGAATGAATGCACAAGTTCTCATTTGAAAGCTATATGTAAAAAGTTAATAAAATTTTTATTCTGTCAAGGATGCATCCACCAGCCACTAGAGAGCACCATTGCGCTGAGAAGTCCGCTCAGCAAGGCGAGGCTGGGACTGTAAAATGGCAGATTAGACAAGTCAAGAAGCTGATTCTGAGCCCCGAAGATGTTCTAACGGTAAATACTGTTGTAAAATAAACTTATAGGTAGAAATTAGTCGTTATTCTGTATGATTTGTCTCTGAACATGGTGCTGGAATGTGTCAGCAGTGAACCAACATCACAGCGGCTGGAAAATTAGTCCTGTTGTTGCAATACCATTTCTAAACACCAGGGTTCGCCAGTGTCAGTGTGCCATATTCAACCTTTAAGATCGCCTTAATGAAGAAGAAGACGAAGAAGAAGAAGAAGAAGAAGAAGAAGAAGACGAAGAAGAAGAAGAAGAAGAAGAAGAAAATATCATTTCTATATCGCCTCTCAAGATAAAAATCACGAGGCACTTCACAAAAAAAGTAAAAATATAAAAAATTATTTAGAAAATGATTAAAATATATTTAAAATTAGCAAAAAATAGACAATTGTGTTAAAAAATGTTAAGAAAGAGAGAGAGAGAGTGAATAGGAAAGAGGGAAATCAGTGGATCCTGAGGGAGGTGGAATAGGTGGGGAGAGCAGAATAAAGAGAGAGTGGTGAAGAAGGTCATACAAAAGCCAGCTTGAACAAGTGAGTCTTCAGCTGCTTTTTAAAGGGGTCCACTGAGTCCACTGATCTCAGGGGAAGAGAGGTCCAGAGTCTGGGGGCCACAGCAGCAAATGATCTGTCACCTTTGGTCTTTAGCCTGGTGCTGCACAACCAGTAGGCTTTGATCACTGGACCTCAGGGACCTGTTGGGGGTGTAGGGACTAAGAAGATCACCAATGTAAGATGGTGCTTGTCCATGTAAGGCCCTATAGACCAGAACCAGGATCTTGAAACCTGACGGTGACTGGCAACCAATGAAGCTGGAGGAGAAGCGGGGTGATGTGGGTGTGTTTGGAGGACTTGGTCAGAAGCCGAGCACAGGCATTCTGAACCACCTGTAGACGGTTCAGGGAGGTTCTGCTCAGACACGTGAAAAGAGAGTTACAGTAGTCTAAGCATGAGGAGATGAAGGTGTGGAGAACTGTCTCAAGTTCAGAGCGGGACAGAATGGGACTCAGCTTAGCAATGTTCCTGAGATGGAAGAAGGAAGAGCGAACAAGAGAACTGACATGAGAATCCAGGGTGAGAGCTGGGTCAAAGGTCACACCAAGATTCCTGACAGAAGGCTTGGTGTGGGAAGCAAGCTGACCAAGAGAGTCTCTGACTTTGGGAACCAGCTTGTCTGGGGCACAGATGAGGATCTCAGTCTTATCTTCATTCAGCCAAAGAAAGCTCCCAGCCATCCAGGTTTTGATAGAGTCTAAGCAGGTGTGTAACAACTGCAGCTTAGACATCTCATGGGGCTTAAAGGAGATGTACAGTTGGATGTCATCTGCATAAAGATGGCAGGAGATTCCTTTGAAGGAGCTCAGGATGTGCTGAAGAGGGAGCAGATAGAGGAGGAAGAGCAGAGGCCCCAGCACAGAACCTTGTGGGACACCATGGGTAAGGGAGGTGGTGGAGGACCTAAACTTGGAGATGGCCACAGAAAAGGAGTGCTCAGAAAGATAAGAGGAGAACCACACCAGAGCAGTTCCTGATAGGCCTACCCAGTCTCTCAGCCTCTCCATTAGCAGGTGATGGTCAACAGTGTCAAAGGCTGCAGTCAGGTCCAGCAGGACCAGAACAGAACAGTCCCCTGCATCACTGTGGGTCAGAAGGTCATTAGAGACCCTAAAGGTTGGTTTATGCTTGACGCGTCCGCGAGGTCCGCACGGCTCCGCGCGGAAAAGTTGCGTCATTTTGCGTCATTTTAACAACCACGCCCCTCCACCACGTCTCAGCACGGCCCAAGATTTCCGCAACGCGCACCTCGGAAAATTTCTAACCACGCGGACGGACGGACGCGGAAAAACATGGCGGACCGGCAAGAACTAGTATGGCAGAGGTTCGTAAATACAGACATTTGTATTATTCAGCTCTCAGATATCACCGTGATCAACATGTAGTTAATAATTCTTGGAGAGAAATAGCTCGCACTGTCGGAAAAGACGAGGACGCTGTTAAAAATGCTGAAATGCCATGTTGTAAACAGTAATTTCTACTTCTACTATGGTGTAGTGTTGGGTGCATGCCGTAGAGCTCCATGCTGCCCCGTTCAGTTTGGGAGAATATTGGCTTACCGCAGAGACGAACCGCACAAACCATAAACGCTGCCAGTTGTGAAGCGCGTTCCATCCACGAGCCGCATCACCGCGCAGAAAGTGAATGCGTCAAGCATAAACCAAGCTTAAGAAGAGCTGTTTCAGTAGAATGAGCTCTACGAAAACCTGACTGGAAGCTATCATAAATGTTATGTTCATCAAGAGCAGCTGTGAGTTGTTAAGCCACAACCTTTTCCAAGATCTTGGAGATGAACAGAAGTTTAGAGATGGGTCTGAAGCTGCTATGGAGAGAGGGGTCGAGACTCGGTTTTTCAAGAAGCGGGTGGATTACAGCATCCTTAAAGTAAGCAGGGACCTGACCAGAAGCCAGAGAAGCATTAATTATAGAGAGCACGCTGGGACCGATGGACTGAAAAGCACTTTTAAACAAAGATGAGGGTAAGATGTCGAGGGGGCATGCAGAGGTCTTCATAGTTAACTAGTTTGGTTAACTCAGGCAAAGAAACGGGAGCAAAGCTATCTAGGATGATGGGCCTGGTTGGAGTCGGGAGAGGCAGCGATAAGGCTGAAGGAGAGATGCTAGATCTAACCTTATTGACTTTGTCCACAAAGAAAGACAGAAAGTTCTCACAGTCTGCAACAGAGTGGATGGAGGCTGTAGGAGAGGCAGGAGACACGATGCTGCTGATGGTGTTAAACAGCACCTTGGGGTTCCCTTTGCTCTGGGACACCAGGTTGGAGAAATAGGAAACCCTAGCGTTTCTGACTGCAGAGTTAAAGGATGTCAGAAGATCCTTTAGGTGCAGCAGATGGACGTGGAGATGGGTTTTCTTCCACAAACGCTCAATTTTTCTGCATTGGCGCTTCAGGCTGCGAAGGCTGTCATTAAACCAGGGAGTAGGGTTCACTGCAGGAACTGATCTGGTTCTGACAGGACAGATGTTGTCCAGGATGGAGAGGCAGTGCTCGTTAAACTGAGAAGTTAAGGAATCTAACTTGACAAATGAACTACAGATGTCTTGAAAATTGAACCACCAACACTGGGAATATTGACTCTTTAAAAAAACAACCCAAAACTTGGAAGATAAAAATGCCAAATGTAAAAGATGCTTGTGTTTCTGCTTAAGTAACCATAGAAACATCTGGTAGAAAGACTTAAAACCACTGAAGCAGCAAGCTTATTCAGATCCAACATTTTGGTCAGGCTCTAACCCCAACTAAACAATAAAGTTAAACAACATTTTAAAGTTTATTTTGCACACAAAAAGAAACACACATATATGTGGTTTAAACAAGTTCACCAGAAGTATTAAGCGGCCTAGTCTAAACAAATAAACGTGGTGAACACACCCAGTCAGACCGGAACCAACCATCACTATGAAAACAGAATCTACACCACTAGAGGTCTTACTTGAGAAGGTCAGGGCCAAGATGAGGATAATGAGGGCTGCAAACACAACAATGAGGATCAGCATGCTGCAGACAGAAAGAAAAAACGTTAAAAGACTTCAGTGAAAATCGACGGAATTGATTTTATCATTGGCAGCGGCTGAATTAAAGATAAGAGGAAACATCCTATAAATTACATAAAATACACATTTATAAATGCATGCATGTGAAATTTTCTATAAAACCTGCTTATTTTGAGGGAATTCAAGCTTTAAAAAACAAAATTTATTCATTTTCCTTTCTAATCAAGTTCCTGGCAGGATTAGTGCAAGTGAAAAGATTTTAAAACATTCTGAGACATCAAAAACATGTGGAAAGCTCACCTGTAGAACAGCATTTGTCCAATCGTGGCCATAGATTCTCACATAACCTTTTAGCCACTATTTTTAGGAACTTGACACTTTTGCTTTAACTCAAAGATCCTGTACCAACGTTCTGCTCATAATGTCCGTTTTGTCTCCAGAGTTGATTCCAGCAGATATTCCTGCAGTCTGCTGCCTTGACAAAATGACTGCCTGCTGCACTCACAGCACCAAGAGTAAATATTACATTGAAGGTGTGTGTGGTTTTGTTGTTATAGTAGCTCTTTTATATTATCAACATAAAAACTTCCAACTAAGCATGAGTCACACAGGTGACTCACGCTTGAGTCAAGATGAGTGTCTTGACCAGGGGCGGTTCTAGACCAAATTTTCCAGGGGGGCCACAGTGGGGCCAGTATTTTTTCATGGGGGCGCAAGACAAAATAAGGGAAAAATTAGGACAATATCAGAATTGTTTTTTTGTCTCCGCCATATGACTAATTTTGTGCTTGTGCACAATTTTGCCAAAGGAAATTCCTAGTACTGTGAAACTACTCACTTTTTTGTTCTCTTCTTTTTAATTTTTATCTTTACTATATTTTGGGGATCAAATTTATCAAAAATTTTCCTTTACTCTTTTCATCTATGATCTTTTACAGCTGTATTTTACTAAAATAAGATTCAAATAAATTCATAATAAAAAACAATGAACAAGTAAACTATTACAGCGAATGCAGTAATGGTTTACTTGTGAAAGTAAAACTGGCATGTTTTTATGGTACTCAGATAACAATTCTGAATGCTTCACCACAACATGAGACTTGAGTAAAAAAATAATTCTAGTTGATTATTTTAGTTTGTGACTTCATTTTAAGATTACATGTACTGTACATATGAAAAATAAACATTCAAACAAATTAAATATGTGCACAATACAATTTCAGACAATTTTCAGACAATTTCAAATTTTTTCTTTCAGACTTTGCATGTACCAAAAAAAAAACCTCCTCTCTCAGTTGCTTTTTTCCAGTTCCTAAATCCACATGGTGAGTCAAACACACTTCCTGCGCTACTTGGTGGGCTAAAATGTCTGCATGCATGACAATAAGTAGAGTCCATAGTAACAGAATATTCAACCCAGGGATGACTTTCATACCAGCTTGGCTGAAAGCTGCATCTTCTGTCTCCTATTAATGTCACTGGATATGTCCTCAAACTAGGCTGAGTAGGAGGGTCATCCTTGCACTTGCTGATATCTGAAAGAAAATAAATGTTAGCATGAGGATAAAAGTCATAATTAGTCTGGCACTTTTGATTGATTGATTGATTGATTTGATAGTTAATTCTGAGTTAATTCAGAGTCTTATTTTATCTACTTATTAAATATAAACAACAGAAATTTTGGTCCAGAGTCAGCATGCCTCAAATGCATTTTACACACAATATGAGCTGCAATCACAGAGGGTTTGTTCAACACCCACAAACCTGACGGTAGTGTACACGGTGCACATGACAGAAGATGTCCCTCTTTTTGCTCCTCACTCTCTCCCTCACAGCCTACATCTTCCTCCTCCTCACTCTCAGGGTGGACAGCCTCTGACCTCTCTGGTTCCTCTCCAACCAACTCTTCCTTCTCTCTTTCATCCTGCTTCTCAGCTCCCTCATAACTTTCATCCTCTCTCTGTCTACGCTGTTCTTTACTAACAGCGGTAAAAAAGGACAAGATGTCCCTTTTTCTTTTCATGGCCGCTGATGCTTCCAGTCAGTGCTGCGAGAAAGTCATAGATAAATGAATACTGTGATCTAATCTCAACGTGTCTAAGGCTTAAAATGCAGCAACTTCATTTTTATTTTACAGTTAATGTTACAAAGGAAAAACAAATCAGTATTAACTGTGGATGGACTCAGTTAGGAACTTAAAAGTAAATGACAGAAACGTGCGACTACGATCAAAACATTGATGTCAGGAAAATAAACTGTACTGCTTACCTTCGTCTCTTAGCGTCTTTTCCGTTAGTCGTGCTCAAAAATGTCTTCGGGTCCCATTTAAACTATTTTTAATCTTTTATTAAAAATCCACCAGGTAAACAATTCTGTCCACAGTGTGCTGCGCTCTAAAGGCTCCGTGTGAAACGCTGCAGCGCATTAGTTCCCGTATCCGAGGCAGCACGGGGGAAAAAAATTCGATCTCTTCAGCACAGGGGCCATAACAGGGGCCAGGGCCGGTTCTATAGGGGCCCAGGCCCCTGTGGGCCCCTGTTTAAAACCGCCAATGCATGTGAGTGGGTGTATGCCGTACATTTTTTTGTTTCTTTAAACTGTATGCATTTATATGAGAGCATGAGGGAGGATTGTGTGACTTGGATTCCCTCCTCTCCTGAGATATATTGTGGTAATACAACATCTTCACCTACCCTCCCCCTGCCAAAACTTTCTGCCGGTGGGTGGTGCCTCGGTCTGCCTGCATATTCGCAGCTCCTGAGTCGGAGGCTGGAAGTTTTTGGCATTTGTCGGGTCGCTCCCGGCAGCTGCCTAGTGGGGTCGTGATCCCTGGACTCTGTCAGGTCCTTGCCGGGGTTGGGCGCCCTTGAGTTCCAGGGTGGGGAGCTGCGGGTCAGTCTGGGGGGCTTGCTGTTGTTATCATCTGGGGCTCTGGCGCAGCATTCAGATATCACTTCTGATTGCTTTGCAGCCGGAAAGGACACAGTAAAAAATAAATAAATTTATCAATGGCCTCGGTCATAGCTGCAGGATTTTTAGTATACTTCATCTAGAACTCCCAGGAATTCTCAGATGTATAAATCAGAAGTTTTGCCGTGGGTCAATAATTGAACCCAGATGCTATGAAATGATAATGACAAATGACCCACATTTGTATAGCGCCTTTCAGAGTCAAGCCAGGTGTACACTGATCAGCAATCGTGAGCTTGCACGGATTTATCCCATGTTTTATTTTTCCTTGTCCCTCATTAAAGCGGCGCTGCGAGAGGCTGCGAACCAAAAAGTACCAGAACCGCTCACGGCTCACCAACTAATTAAGTGTCTTGCCCAAGGACACAACAGCAGCATTCTCTGGTGGGAGTTGGGATCAAACCTACAACCTTCCGATTTATGGAAAACCTGCCCTACCGCCTGAGCTACAGCAGCCCACCACTTTTCACCAGGACCAAAGTTAAGTAGGTGCTGATCAGCTTTTGTTGAAATTAATTTCACTCTTTGTGTTATAATAATAATAATAATAATAATAATAATAATAATAATAATAACACCAACCACCAACAGTGACTGAAAACAACAACATCACAGTGTTGTGGGACATGCCAATCAACACAGACAGAGAAATCATGGCCAACAGACCAGACATAATCATCAGAAACAAAGAAGTGAAGACCTGCCTCATGATTGTTATGACCATCCCATCTGAAAAAAATGTCACCACCAAGGAGCTTGAAAAGCTATCAAAGTACAAAGACCTGGAAATAGAAGTCACAAGAATGTGGGGGATGAAGACAACAACAATACCCGTCGTAGTGGGTGCACTTGGCCTCATTAAGAAGGGACAGGAAAAGAGAACGAAACAGATTCCTGGAAACCCAACAGTCCAAGAAATCCAGAAGATTGTTCTTCTCGGAAGTGCCCACATCATCAGAAGGACGCTTTCCATAAACTAACCCTGAAACTGCCTTAGAAGCATGGATTGATTCTGGCACTTCAGTGAAAGCATACAAATATACAAAAAAAAAATAAAAATAAATAAAAAATAAAAATAATAATAATAATAACAATAATTATTATTATTATTATAGCTTAAATGACCTTTCATTGTTGTTGTCGCTACAGTTTCCTATACAGCACTGTGGTGTCATTTTTATTGTTTTAAATTGCTCTTACATAAAATCAACATTGGCAACAAAAATTCTGCATCAGAGCAACAATAATGATACATAAAGACTGCATACATGGCAGAAGTCCTGTCATAGGATGAGAAAAAAAAAGATGTTTCTGTTTCTCTTCAACACCTTCCTCCATTTTTATCTCAAGATATGATCACTCTTGCATCTTCAATCTCTTCTTTGTTTCTGCATTTTTGCAACTTTTCATCCAAATTTTCTGTAGCTAAAGACCATCTGGATGTCTTCCAGTCAGTCCGCTGTGGTTCTACTCGTCAGTTCGGAGCCAGCTGACTGGTATCCACTGGGGCTCGTTCTGCGCTTGCTGGATGATAGAGCAGAGCTGCATGCAGGCGTCCTGTAAGTCATCATTCACCACGGTGCTGTCAAAATACTGTTTGTATTTAGCCTCGATCATCTGGGAAGTCTCCTCCAGCTCCAACAAGTCTTCCACCTGCAGGAAGAGAAGAGTTAGTCACTGGTTAATTCTTTCTTCTTCTTTACAGTCCTTGTTCTGACCAAAAGGTTAAACAAACAGAATTAGCGCTCTGACTGTGAAAGCTCTGTTGATGGCGTAGTTGGTGATGATTCTGGCGTTTCTCCGTGTTTGTCTCAGCCTCTCCTGGTTTGGTGCTTTGATGAAAATCACGTATGGCTTCAGGTTTCTGCACCGTAACAAGTGAACACTCTAGAGAGAAAGCATAAAACTGATTATTATTAGAAAAAACTCAAGTGAATTAGAAACAAAACAAAATAAGTTGTTTTATGGAAATCCCAAACCACCACAAATAGGTGGAAAACCCTTTGATAGGGTTTCACTCGTTTACATTTCTAGAGATAAACACAGATGTTTGCTGATTAAACTCACTGGTGGTTCAACATCGATGATGCACATCTGTCCCTTTTTTAGCACCTCGTCAACGGCGTCGATGCTCATCCCATACATGTGGCCCTTACCCTCCCCGTACTCCACAAACCTAAAGAAACACATGCTTTACTCAATCTTACCAAGAAGGACAACACAGGTTAAAGACCGCCGATCAGAGAGCAAACATGAATGCAAAAGGTCAAAAATAGACGCATACTTGTTGTTACACAGCATATACTCAAACAGCTCTTTGGTGACAAAGTGGTACTCCCTTCCTGCCAGCTCTCCCTCTTTCATTGGACGGGTTGTATCTGCAGGAACGTCGTAAGATTAATGTAGAACTGTTCTACAGATCACAGGCTATAGAGCAGATAAGAAACTCGTGCTTTTGTGTAAAAGTACATCCTTTGTCATGAAACATGACTAAATATGTTAAATATATAATGATGTACATACAAGGTACGGGTCCCTGGAAGGTCGAAGGGTTCAGTTTGATGAGTCTCTTCCTCAGCTCATTAACTCCAACACCAGAAGCACCTGGTTAAGAGACGAGATGACGAAGAGGAGGAGTTTCTGTCTGGTTACGTTGGAGTTATGTTTACCATTTGGTTGTTTCCATTTTTCTCTGACTGATCCGAAAGGCTCCAGCAAGGGTTCACTCACAAGACTCTTTCATTTTATTTTTTAATACATAAGCTCTATGTGAGCCCACTGCAGTGTATGGCAGCCCATCTGTACTTCATGTCCTTGCTGTCCCGGATCATTTGGCTCATGACTACTCTACTCTAGTTTTGCAGTATTTGATTACAAGCATCGACTGGCGGATCGACAGGCGGATTGGTTCGGTGTCTGCAGTGATGCGGACGCTGAGCCGATCTGTCGTGGTGAAGAGGGAGCTGAGCCAGAAAGCCAGGCTCTCGATTTACCGGTCGATCTACGTCCCAATCCTCACCTATGGTCATGAGCTTTGGGTAATGACCGAAAGAACGAGATCGCGGATACAAGCGGCCGAAATGAGTTTCCTCCGTAGGGTGGCCGGGCTCAGCCTTAGAGATAGGGTGAGGAGCCCGGACATTTGGGAGGGACTCTGAGTAGAACCGCTGCTCCGAGGAACGCCTTGGGGTCCGGGAACGCCTTGGGGTCCTGCCGGAGGAGCTGGTGGAGGTGGCCGGGGAGAGGACTGTCTGGAGCTCCCTAGTTGGGATGCTGCCCCCGCGACCCGGACCCGGATAAGCGGTAGAGGACGAGACAAGACTACAAGTACACTGGTGACACTTTTTACCTCAGTTGTACTAGTCAGCCTATATGCTACACTACCGACTCAACTAGTAACCATAACAATCCTTTACATATCAGTCGTCAACTAGCAGTTATCAAAGTCTGCAAAAGTTTAATGAAACAAGAAATTTGAAAGTTAACGTGTCAACTACTAAAGCTCAGAATTCTCATCTGGAAACTAGTTGATGCTTTTTAGACCTCATTAGTTAACTAGTGCAGCTAAAAATCCTTTGTAATTGACTAGTTCACCAGTTAGCCTCTGAGCATCCAGGTGCCTGAAAAAGTTTAGACGTCTGGGCTACTAGTGTGGTTGGCTGACTAGTCCAACTTTGTCTTTAGCTTGTTGGACAAACGTACTACAGGTAGGCAAAAACGTCAACTGTCTTTCGGTTAGTGCAGCAATGCGACCAGCTAGTACTATGTAGTCTGGAGTTAGGGAATCATAATGAAGCCAGAGATAAAATGCATGAAATCACATTAACATGGTTTTCATTCTAATTCTTCTCACCAATGAGAACGATGAGGCGATAGCTCTCCTGTGGGAGGCGCTGGTACAGCGCCACCTCCTCATAGGGCGAGGACAGAACGTTGCTGCTGGGAGAGCAGGAGGTGCAGGACTGCCTCCTCTTCTTGTACCATGTCCTCCTCCAGAGACGGAAGCTTCGACGAAAACCAGCTAACGAGGGCGAAGAACATTTTTGCTTATATGGTCCAACTAAAAATAAATCATCCAGGCTCAGATGCAGAAAAACCTGCTCTGCTAATAGAACCATAGCGCAGCTGATCCACTTTACTGTCAATGAATATGTTGCGGTATGGGGGCCAAAATTCAGACTACTGCCCAGCAGCAGGAGGCTATATAAATTCCGAAGCAAACTACTGATCTGATTAACGATAAGCTGGCGCCGGTAACTGAGAGGCTGGCACTGCTTACTGAGAAAACAGCACCTTTTCCGGCATTATTACTAGATACGCTAGGGACTAGCAGCCCTCGGCTGGTCATTGACTGGTTCATACACTCCCTCTGCTGTCTGTTAGCATGGATAGGCTTGCGTTAGGCCTGGACAGGCTGGTGTTAGCATTGGAGAGGCTAGCCATTAGCGTGCCTAGGCATGCCACTAGCTGGATTTCCTACCCCCTTGAAGTATGGCGCGGTATGGGGGCCAAAATTAAGACTACTGCGCAGCAGCAGGAGGCTGTATATATTCTGAAGCAAACTACTGATCTGATTAACGATAAGCTGGCGCCGGAAACTGAGAGGCTGGCGCTGCTTACTGAGGAATAGCACCTTTACCTGTGTTATTACTAGATACGCTAGGGACTAGCAGCCCTCGGCTGGTCATTGACTGGTTCATACACTCCCTCTGCTGTCTATTAGGCTAGCGTTAGCCTGGACGGACTGGTGTTAGCATTGGAGAGGCTAGCCATTAGCGTGCCTAGGCTGGCCACTAGCTGGATTTCCTACCTCCTCGAAGGACCATTAGCATGGATAGGCTGGCGTTAGCATCGGAGAAGCTGGCCATTAGCGTGCCTAGGCATGCCACTAGCTGGATTTCCTACCCCCTTGACGGACCTTAAGCATGGATAGGCTGGCATTAGCATCGGAGAGGCTAGCCATTAGCATGTCTCGGAGAGTCACTAGTCAGCTAGTGGCCAGCCTAGGCACGCTAATGGCTAGCCTCTCCAATGCTAACACCAGCCTGTCCAGGCTAACGCTAGCCTATCCATGCTAATAGACAGCAGAGGGAGTGTATGAACCAGTCAATGACCAGCCGAGGGCTGCTAGTCCCTAGCGTATCTAGTAATAACACCGGTAAAGGTGCTATTCCTCAGTAAGCAGCGCCAGCCTCTCAGTTACCGGCGCCAGCTTATCAGATCAGTACTTTGCTTTGGAATTTATATAGCCTCCTGCTGCTTGGCAGTAGTCTTAATTTTGGCCCCCATACCGTGCCATATAAAAGATGGCCGCCACAGGTCATCGACCAATGGTTTCAACTTAGTCATTCGCTTACTGCAGTGATTCTCAACTGATGATCCGCTGCACCACCTCGCCTCCACTAATTAAGAAAGACTGCCTTATGGATAAACTCCTCGGCTTCACACGTGGAACAAGAATGTGCTTCACATGTAGTTTACATGTAATCCAATAGGGCTTCATATCAGAACGTCCACACTTTCTTACCATGAAATATGGGGTATGTGTGTAATCACCAGAGGTCACAACTTGTTTTTAACATGTTCTCGCATGTTCAACTAAACCAAAGAAAAAAGTGTTTTCTACATGTGGTCACCTGATTTTTCCCATGTGTTTTTCTGTAAGGGGTTCTAATGTAACATTGCAGATGTTTACAAGTGCTCTTTTAAGCCTTTAATAGTTTTACAAACTTTCTGTGAACATTTCTAAACAGTTGAGACTAGAAATATTTAAAACAGATATGCTTCAGGCAGAATATTGTTATTAAACAAACGGGGTCAGAAATGCTGTTATTCTAGTGTATGTGTGCACAAACTAGATCTTACCTAAATAGACTCCAGCAGTAAAATCATAGTCATCCTCATCTGAAGGAATAGAAAAAAACATCCAATGTTTCTACTTTTCTCCAAGAATGAAACTCAAAGAAAAAGTAGATGAAACTAGAAATAAAATAAAATAAAATGGAAGATTAAAACAATAAATTAAAATAAAACAACTAAATGTCACTTTACATCAAGTCTACCCCCAAAAACAATAAATTAACAATTCTCCACTTGTCTGTGGTAAAGATGTGTATAATATAAAGTTGTACTTTTACTTAAAGTGACATTATGGAAGTTTGACAGCCAAAACATGTATAGAAATAATAAATGTCTTCTTCATACATTCTCCTGCAATGCTGTGGTCCTGTAGAATGAGCCCTGGCATTTTTACTGTGATTGCCTGTTTTTCTGTAAAATCACAGAAAAAGAGAGCTGCTCGGGTCGAGCAGGCTGCTTCATGCGCGTTCACGCTCAGCCATAGCCCGTAGCATTTGCTATCAGTAGCTTTAGCAGCAGAGAGGCAGTGCCACTTTGTCGCTGTTCCTAACGCCTAGTGACAAAGCTAGCTACATTTCTGAGGACCCTTAGCTACTTTCTGTAGAACTTTCTTCTAGATATTTCCTGCAAATTAGCAACAAAATAGCCATTTTCGCTGCAAACCGTTCTTTGGTTTGACGTTGTTTCAGGTGTCATCAAGGATATAAAAGTTACAGATACAAATAACATAACTGGTGCTGTAGCTCACTTAGTAAGATGTCTGACTCTCATGCAGAAGACCTGGGTTTGATTCTGGATGTGAACATAGTTTATTTAGAGTTTGTTTTTTTACATTAATGGTATATTTTTTACAGTAAGATGCCCAAATTTTTATTTGAGACTCGCCGAACGGCATTGAATTCACAGATAAAAAAGATGTGGGTTCAACTTTCATTTTGGAACAATTTTTCAAGCAAGGGAAGGGAATGATCTGAGCATGCAGGAGGACTGACCCATCATAAACCTTTGTCGGCTGTGCTGAAGAGAAAGGTACAGAACCAAATTATTTAATTAATTAGCTGCGCGTTCTCCTGTCCTCTGGGCCACACACACACACACACACACACACACACACACACACACACACACACACACACACACACACACACACACACACACACACACACACACACACACACACACACACACACACACACACGCACACACACACACACACACACACACACACACACACACACACACAAGGGACTGTCTCAGCTGTTATTTTCGTGAAGGAGTGTGCACGTACAGCATGCGCGCCTCGTGCACGAGCCTACTATTGAAGCTGCTGTTATGCTTTTGGCCTGAGGGGGCAATCGCGAGCATAAAAATTCAAAAGTCCGAAAAGTCCCTTTAAAATAACAAAACCCCAGAAAACTCCACCAACCAGATCAACCACGATCAATAATCCAAAACTAGATTGTGTCCAAACCGACTTACCTACCAAAGTTTATTTCTTGATTATTGTCCAAATCTGGAGAAAAGAGAAACAGTCAGGTGTTTTTCTAAGAAAAGATGGTTACAAATCTTTTTTAACAGTTTCACCTGTTATGATGCGTTTGTCATCAGCGTGTGTGGGATCTTCCTCTAAAAGACACAAAGAGGAAACATGAAACATGGTTTGGTATGATGAAGGACTCAGAACACAACTAGAAACAAGAGAAGAACAATCCAATTGAAAAGGAGAAGGAGTGACTCAGAAGGAACAAAGTGAGTGTATCAATGTTGCACCAGGTGTCACACCCACCGTGATCAGCTGGGATGACTTGGGAGAGCAGAAAGAAAGGAAACATCTGTTAAAATGTGTTAAACCAGATGCGTACCACTGAACATTCTCACGTTTACCCTCTTCATTAAAAGTTCATCTGTTGAATTCTGCTCTGTCTTCTGAAACCCAGCCATGGCCACCTTAACCAGCTGACAGGCCCCGGGGGAGAGAGGCTCAGTAGACCCATGTGTGCATTGGTGGAAGAGGTGCTCTAGATAACTGCTTTTGTCAGGTGACTGGATTGTATTTGTGCCAGTGGTTGTCCTTTCCCTTTATGTTTCCGTCCCTGAATCCCTTACTCATGTTTCTGTCCCTGAATCCCTTACTCATGCATTCATCACATCACAAATCCACTAATAGTATCACATCCAAAACCCTCAAACTTCAACACATCCAGAATTCTGCTTCAACACCTCCACTGGCTTCCTCTCACTCAGAGCATCACAAGTCCTCTATAACCTGACCCCTCCTACCTCCCTGACCTGCTCCACCACTGTGCCCCATTTTTATTGTTGCATAATCTGCTTGGTCATCTGGATTTTTACAGCAACTCTGAGTGTTAAGAAAAGCACTTGATGAATAAAATGTGTTATTATTCTATATTATGACCCTAATACCTGTCCTACTGTGGTGTCCCACCTGAAGGCCGAACTGCTGCTGCAGCTCTTATGTAACCCCCCTCCCCCCCCCCCCCCCCCCCCACACACACACACACATGCACACACACAATAAGGTGGCAATGCCTCAGGGTAAAATAAACAACAAATAATAAAATAAAATATTTTGCATAAGGTTTTAGTGACTAGAAACATGCAAACATACACACACACACGTGCACGCACACACACACATGCACACACACGCATGCACACACGCATGCACACACACACGTGCATGCATGCGCACACAAACACATGCACACACATATGCACGCACACACATGCACGCACGCATGCACACACATACGTGCACGCATGCACACACATACGCACGCACGCACATGCACGCACACACACTTACTGTGCTTATTTTGTTGCAAATTTGAAATAATCTTCTTGTGCTCACAAACGCAACAGAACATCAGCAGGCAAAGAAAAACAACTGATCTCCAGCTGCTGGTTTTAGAGCAATAATAAAGTAAAAGAGCAAAATATAAAATCTGCCAGAACATTAAGTTGCTGTAGGTCCATAAGTGCATTTGTAAAGTCACATCAGCACAGACCTAAAAGGCTTTTCTCCACTATAATGTTGGCTAAACTGGAACCTGTTTCATTGGTGATGACGTTTAACAATTAAACCGACTGGATCAACAGACTTGAAATTAAATGTCGTGAAATTCTTGATATTTTATTGACTTTGTTTTTTTTTACCTAACAAAAACGGTTATCCAGAGCATCTCCTCCACCAACCTATTTGTGTCAACTTTCCTTACATTTAGAGGAACACGCCCTGAAATCATCTAAATTGTTTGATTGGTCAGCTCATGGTCCAGAGGTCACGTGGGTGAGTAGGTCACTTGTAATTTGAATCAATCAGCAGCTTTAGATGAGCATCTAAGATGACTGACTGAAAGTCTGACAAATAATAAAACGGTGTTTCTTTTTGTTTAACCTGCAATGATAGGCCTTTAAACCTCATAGGCCCCTGTCTAAGGCCCTGGTTGGCCCGTGCATTAAGGCGGCTCCGCCCCCAGTGAGTCACGGCCAATGGCTGCTCATACTGGTCCAGGTTCTGTTGGAGGTTCCTTCCTGTTTATGGAGAGTTTTCCTCTCCACTGTTGCTACATGCTTACTTAGTATGAGGATCGGGACTCTGCTGAGTTTTCTTTCTTGGAAAACATTTGACTAATTGGAATAACAAAATTAACTCAATGCACTGTATAAACGATACAACTGGGATGATTGTAAAGTATGCTGAGACGACTTGTGTTGTAGAATTTAACATAATTTAGTTACTTTTTTAATTGAAATGGATTGTAGGGAGTAGAAAAGTCTAGCAGCGCTTTGACGGCCATACACGTGAAACATGAATGTTGGAACACAAAAAGAATGAATTAAGTTTTAAATCTCAGGTAGAATGCTCTAAACTCTTTCATGCCATAGTGGTGGCTAAGTTAAAGGCATCACATGGACAACCAAACAAATAAACTATGACAAAATAAATGGATTAGTTGCATTTCTTGCAGAAAATCTGTTTCTGTACTAATTGGAGCTGAAGGAATCGTCAGGTATGACCTTTCTGTAAACAGCTTTAAGTTCCACACGGAGGGTTTCATGTTTTTTGGCCCCTAAATCACCAAATCTGCCTTTTTGAAGATTGAAAACAGGAAAAACATAATTAAAATAAATCTATTTAAAATAATTAAGACTTATCTCAAATAGGAGAATTTGCTTCAACATTCCTATAGACCTCTTCACACGTGACATCACGCGCCTAAGCCACCGCTGTAGATGTTCCCATTCTGAATTAGTCGTCTCACAGCTTGGTGGCTAATTCAAACACATCTGGAATCTTTGTATGTTTATTTTTTTGATCATCTGCACAAAAATGGTAGATTAACTAAAATAGAAATGTCTAAATTCCTAGGTTTTATTATTCACCATAAGTAATGTAAATACTGGTCTGTAGGGTCTTTTTGTCCCCCCCCAGCATTGTGTGTGTGCGCGCTATTACCTGGATGTAAACAATAACACTCAAGGGGTCTATATTTTCTTTAGGCTGAGCAAAGTGGTGCATATCCTCATAAAGATGCTAGATGCACATATTCCAGCAAACTGTAATTGCATTTGTGTTCGTAATAGTTATAATTACAAATTTGCATAAGGTATTAACCAGAAAGCAGTTTTGAGATAAGTGTCCTCACAGGGTCTGATGCAGGTATGAACCTGTAGGGGCTGACAGAACCACTGCTCCCGCTGTTTACTGCAGATAAAAACAAAAAAAATTACAAAATAAATAGTAAACCTGCCTTTCACTTGTTTAGATTTGAATAGTTCATTTACAACATATTTATACAGGCACATCATTAGTAGAAATACTGAAAAATTCCCAGAATCAAGGTTTTAGACAGATGGACGAACGGATTACTAAAGTCTGTGTACTTCAGGTTTTTCTTTTCATTTACTGTTGAAGCATTTTACCATGATCTACTCCTACCCAACACTGCCCTCTGGTGGCTCTCCCTGAGACATGCAGGTTTCAGGATGTGTGTGTGTGTGTGTGTGTGTGTGTGTGTGTGTGTGTGTGTGTGTGTGTGTGTGTGTGTGTGTGTGTGTGTGTGTGTGTGTGTGTGTGTGTGTGTGTGTGTGTGTGTGTGTGTGTGTGTGTGTGTGTGTGTGTGGGTTAAGACTAGGTCACCTCTTCAGCATGCTGGCAGAGGGAATCAAACCAGCAAAGGTTGCACCACAGGGTAGCTTCCTGGCCTGCCACCACTGTCCGTCGGACTGGTCCACCACCTCCAATAGGTCTCCTCTGCTAAAAGACATTCCTGCAACTGGACAGGGGATGGAGGAGTCCTGCTGGGGGCGATAGTCCACCATGGCCCTCATGTACACCTGAAGGAGAGGGGGGTGTGGGCGTTATTTTATTTGCAGATAAAAAGATTAAATGTGAAAAACACAAAACCAACATGTTCACAAACATTCTGACACATAAACACAGACCAGGACATAACGCCCTGGTTCTGTCTAAACATTTTATAAATTTATTAGATTTTTACTGAAACAGTCTCCAGATTTTCCTTTCTAATAAAATTTAGCTCTGATTCATGCTATAAAACCATCTAAGGTGTAGAAAGCTGTTCAGTACAGCTGTGGCCCAATGCTGTAAAAATAACACAAATGTTAAATGGACGTTTGCTGCTGCAATTGTTATGATTGCAGTTTGTATGAAGTCCAAGATGTTCTGAACAGAAGGCAGACAAATAAAAATGGTTAAACCCCCCAAAACCGTTTAAAGGAGGCTTATTATAACCTTGTTTCTAAGTTGTAAAAGTTCTACGTTTTATAAAAAATGTTTATAAAGCATAAAATCCCTCTCACATCAAATGATTTCAGCAGCTTTATTGTTAATATTTTCTGTACCTTCCAGAATAAGCTGTTTCAGGGCTCTGTTGCTTTAATACAAGTAAGCTACTGCTGACCACACCCACCTACCCCCTGATTAGCTGCTATGGAGAAAGGAATTCAAATATCTGGAAGGGGATTGGAGTAGAGCCGCTGCTCTCCCAGCATTAACCACACATCAGTGATGGCTCACAGTTTACCTGATATGCATAATGCTATGCTAACATGCCAACGCATTTATAACTTTAGAACCTTTATCGCACCAGGCTGGCTCTTGTTTTGGGTTTGGCTATTGGATCTTCACCTTCTGTCATCATGATTTTACACAAAGTCAACCTCAGTGAATAAAAATAATTACATCTGTATTTATCCTGATTTTTCAGCAGACTCCCTCAACTTTTAATATTGGTTCAATGAACTCATCCACTGCTAAGGTCATCAATTGCGTTTTCTAAAGGGGCGGGCTTGGGAACAAGCTCATCTACACCACACCTCTAAATTAGATTTTTACCTGTGTGTGTTACATGTCATGTGATCACGGAGCAGACAATCCATGAATTAGGAGATCGTTTTGGGGCGCCACAATGCAAAAGTTCACAAGTGAGGGTAGGAGGGATCGGGAGATCGACAGGCGGATTGGTTCAGGGTCTGCAGTGATGCGGACGCTGAGCCGATCTGTCGTGGTGAAGAGGGAGCTGAGCCAGAAAGCCAGGCTCTCGATTTACCGGTCGATCTACGTCCCAATCCTCACCTATGGCCATGAGCTTTGGGTAATGACCGAAAGACCGAGATCGCGGATACAAGCGGCCGAAATGAGTTTCCTCCGTAGGGTGGCCGGGCTCAGCCTTAGAGATAGGGTGAGGACATTCGGGAGGGACTCGGAGTAGAACCGTTGCTCCTCCGGATCGAAAGGAGTCAGTTGAGGTGGTTTGGGCATCTGGTCAGGATGCCTCCTGGACGCCTTCCTGGGGAGGTGTTTCGGGCATGTCCTGCCAGCAGGAGGCCCCCGGGTCCACCCAGGACACGTTGGAGAGGTTACATCTCCAATCTGGTCCGGGAACGCCTTGGGGTCCTGCCGGAGGAGCTGGTGGAGGTGGCCGGGGAGAGGACGGTTGGAGCGCCCTAGTTGGGATGCTGCCCCCGCAACCCGGACCCGGATAAGCGGAGGAAGACGAGACGAGACAACGAGACACTATGCAAAAGGTGTGGCAGAAACTGGAAAAGTTTCTGCAGCTCACACTTCAACAACGGATAGCAAAAAGAAACACGCCGATTCTTCCTCATGTAAGAAGGCTTTCTGTTCAGAAAATGGGCGACATCGAATGAGTTAAAGAATCATCTTTTGGCAAATGAGTCCTAGTTTTGTATTCATGTAAACATTGGTTAACAGTTAATTTATTTCTCTTCACTGTCTGAGATGAGGAGAGGGTGTGGGTGTTTCTTACCGGCTTCTGACGGCTGTTGACTTGAGAAGAATTAGGAATGACTTTAAGCAGGACGGTACCTTTAGAACTGGTCTGAAACCAAAAGAAACAGGTCAACACCTCAAAGGAGACTTTTTATTCTTGAACTTCATTAATCTAGATCACATATTGTTGCTGTTAGGCTAAAACAGGCGCGCAGATAGGGTGGGGGACGGGGAGATCTGTCCCCCCAGATTCAGATTGACCCCGATCCGTCCCCCGCACTAATGCCAGAAAGAAAACAAAATTAGAGGTTAAGCGCATGAAGCTACCTTTTCCAATTCCATTGAATGCAGCATGACGTAAACAAACAGACTCCAGAGGCGCCAAAGTAGTTGCTGCTAGGATGCAGGATGAAGCGAAAAAGGCAAGCAACGATTACTGCGTATTTAAAAAAGACCAACAGTGTAAGTAGGCGGGACCGGTCTGTCTGTTTATGCATGTTGGTTATAGATTCAGTACATTGTTGTCAGTGTTGGGACTTACTCGTTAAAAGCGCCAAAACCTCATTGCTGACTTTAACAAGTCTCATCTACAAATATCATCCCTCATGAAGTTACTACATTACATCAGAAGATAGTGGAGATGTGTATCCTTCAGGCTGAGCAAAGTTTGGGAGTTTTTAGAGCTTGAAAAATGCCTCGCGCCGAGAGGCTCCCAGTTGGGGAGAGGAGGAGATGTGCGCATGCCCACTTTTCACTCTCTGTCTAGGGCGTCGGGGGGGGGGTTCCTGCACTGATCAACAGGAGCAGCAATGCGCAATCATGCATCAACACCGCTCGCCCGCTATTTCCCTAATAACACAAGTTGTTCGTTTTTATTTCTACACGTATTTTTTTACTCACAAAGATTGTCAAGAAAGCGTGTTTGTCGTGTTCGTGTCAAATTAACCTGATCACAAAACACAGATTTACTTTCTTTATTTCATTTTCCTCATCCAACCCCCATAAATTGCTGTGTGTCCCCCTGCAGCACTCCCGAAGGACAACAGGCAAGTCAAAAAAGTCTGACGTGTTGTGTAAAAACGGCTATTTTTAGCACATTTTTAGGGCAGACGTGTTGCTACCAGACGTACAGTGAGCAGTCAGATCGCATCCGAGAACTGGGTCGTACAGTGTGAGCACATGACTTGTGAGATCTGCCCTGCGAGGAAGTCGTACAGTTTGAGCTGAAGCTGAGTGCTACGAGTGAAAAAGTTGCACAGTGTCCGCCCAGCTTAAGTCTGCATTTATATAACCACACTCTAATCTCATTGACCTCTTAGAGCCATTTAGCATAATGAGCTAGCTTCTCTCATTCATCACAGCTTTTGTTAGTCTATATGCTCTACTGTAGGCTGTGTTCTGCTAGCCTAGAACCAAAAACCCCAGACTGCTGAAGCAAAAAGATTTTGCTCTCCATGTCGGTCTAGCAATGCTCCACTGGAACCTGGGCAGCCCTGGTTACCCTGGTGGCGTGCCAATCACAGTGCTCTATCAGTTTGGTGAGTGGGATGTTACTGCAACTGAGCAAAACTAAGATGGTGACGGCTCGTTTGAAACAACTTTGTCATTAAGTTGGACTACTTGGACTTGGGGTTTTCTGTGAGTCAAGAGCAGATAGCGGTAGAAAGAAAAGAAAGAAAAAATGGTCTTTTATATAGTGCATCTCAAGATAAAAATCACGAGGCACTTCACAAAAAAAAATTAAGCATAAAGTATAAAAAAAATTTCAAAAAATGATAAAAATAAGATGTTTAAAATGAGAAAATATTAAAATTGTGATTTAAAAAACTCCAGGAAAGGTAGAGAGAAAATGAATAGGAAAGATGCTTAAGTCCTTTATTTGGAAAAAGGATGTCCCAATGACTGACATCCATAGCTGTGTGTATGTCTCGTTGTTTCCTTTACAATGTTCATTATGTCCTCTTTTTAAATGTTGAACGAGGTTCGATAAGCTTTGGACATGAAGGTGTTTCGAGTTACCTTTTTACATGTTTCGACCGTCGTCTGCGGTCTTCTTCAGAAATGCCACAGGTGTTTGTGTTAAGCATCTTTATCAGCTGATCTGGGTTGGTCGCGCCCACCAGAAGAACAGCTGATAAAGATGCGTCACACAAACACCTGTGACATTTCTAAAGAAGACCGCAGATGACGATCGAAACATGTAAAAAGGTAACTCGAAACACCTTCATGTCCGAAGCTAAAAGAACCTCGTTTAATAATAATAATAATAATAAGTCTCGTTGTTTGTTGTCCAATAGCATGTGGAGACTGAAAGACAGCCGTAGATCCCGCCCCACAACCGAGACTGTCAAAGGGTTGTGACCTGTTGGCTTGTCAGGCTAGTGTCTGCATTTGCTTTAATATTTCACACAAAACCTAAAATAGCGTTTCCCCCGTTCGAAAATAAGCGCATTCTTGGCATCAAAATGCTTCTTTAAAATTCATGGACATCATATGTGAAATCCATGGCACAAAACAAGCAAATTTTGAAAATAGCATTTTAGCCCCATTAACTTGCATTCATTCTTTCGTTCTTCCGGGGACCCGTGGTCCGGAAGTAGATGGGTGTGACTTACCCCAAAATTCCACTATCTCCGCTCCGCCCTCGCTTTCCGCTGCCGCTCGCTTCCGAACTCAAATTATACTATACCCGCTCTACAACGGCTCCTCTCCGGTGCGGAGACCTGAGGTGCGCAAACAGGCATGCGCAGGATTTTTGACATCTTGCGATACAGTCCGAGCAATAAATGCGGAAGTTAGATCCAAACACCCGTTGTGTGGGAGAAGCATTGAAATGAACTGTTTAATCTGCCCATCATTTGTGTTGAGAGATCAGCAGTGTTTGGATCAACAAAGGGTGACTACTTTGATAGTGGAAACTGTATTTATGGCATGTTTTTGTGCATTTAAAGTTCAACCGCCATTGATAGTTGTTAAAAGTTGTTAAACCTGTGCATATGAAACAAAAAACGCTTTTTGTTTATCGATTTATTGTGAAATAACGGAAGTTGTGCTTGCTCCCTTTCCTGTTGGGCGGTTGTGATTTCTGTCCATTGACTGCGGAGGTGCTCCGGCATCCGGCAAAAATAGAATCGATCCTATTTTTGCCGGACGGCGGGCGGCGCACTGGTGGAACAGCTCTGACTGACTACAACGGGACCGTTTTTGCTGCAGAGTTCGTGCCGGAGCGGATCGGAGATAGTGGGATTTTGGGGTTAGGCTCCCTAAAGACAATCAGGTCCAAATCCGTTCCACACTAGACGGAAATGAGGAGTCAGACTTCACAAGGGCTTTGATTCAACCACTGAGTATCAATGAATGCCTCACTGAAACCATGTGTCCGTTTCATCCAACTTCATAGTGATGTGCTACTTTGTGTTGGTCTATCACAGAACATCTAAAAAAAAGCACCCAGTGGTTGCAGGTGTCCAAACCTTAGCAAGGCTCTCTACGTATTAATATCGACTCACACGAGAAATCACATCATGGTAGGATTTTTCCATATCTACCAGCTCTAGTTAAACTCATGAAGAACGTGATTACCCACCAGTATCTGGATGACCCTTCCTGGTTCTAGGCCCGCCACCGAGTTTCCATTAACCTCCACTAAGACATCACCGGGAAAAAGAAGACCTGACAAACAAAAACACAGGTTCAGCCACAACATCGTGTATGTTTAGGTCATCCTGCTGGTAATCCCATCCTGACTGATGGACATGCAGACAGTCACAAGGTGGTCTACACGTGTATCTCACCGCTGCGGTCTGCCAGCCCTCCGTGGATCACTCTGGCAACATAAATGTCTCCTGACTCCTCGTTCCTTTTTATAGTTGCCCCCTGAAACAAAAACTCATCTCTTAATGGCCACATTATTTACCAGTCCTTCATGCGCTGCAGGGCTTCAGATTCCTTTACATGCTATTAGACATCTAGTTTGTTTGTTAGGATTAAATCTTAGCAACAAAAGCAGTTCAAATAAACAGATCAGTGCTGATAAAACAGGTGAAATGTGCAGCAGCTTCAAGGACAACTGGGTCAAACGGAAGATGGAGAAACATGAACTCGTGGTACCTTTCCACTACGTCCCATGTGCTCCTCAAAGTGATCCAGAAAAAATGACTGATTCACCGTTGACGTGTTTGCTTCTGAGTGAAAATCCAAATAATAATCTAAATGCTGATGAAAATAAGAGATTTTTGGAAAAAGTTCAAGCGCCACAGTTTTGATGTCATTTCATAAAGTGTCTGTTTAATTTGCCTGATTGTTTTTTCTCTTCTTCTTTGTTTTAATGCAACCTGTCAGATTACAGTCCTGCTGGTCCTCCTGCTGAGCTCTTGAAACGGTTCCATTCTTGAACCTAACATGTTCCATAAAGTGATTTTCACCTGTCCTCTTGCTGAGTTTGGTTCCTCCATTCAGTCTCTTTGAAGTCAGGGACACAGTGAAGTTATTGGTGAAGGAGCTGGCTGAGGAAGAAGAAGAAGAAGAGGAAGCAGAGGACGGTGAGCTGGGGCGAGGGTGCGGTGTGAGAGGCTTGCAGGTCAGTTTTGGAGATAGTGAGGAACCTCTTGGAGGAGGAACAGGACAAAGATGTGATTCCTGTCTACTTGGTGGAGAGGCTTCAAGGTGCCTATTGGACACAAGGATCCCCTGGAGCTTGTCCACCACTTCAGCCAGGAGGTTAAGGGCCTGGGCGTTCTCTTCCACCCTGTCTGTGATCATTTCTGTTGCTGCTACCATCTTCTGGCCCAAATGGCGGACATCTTGAGTACTGTGCTCAATACTGCTGGCCACCGTTTGAACAGTGGTCCTGAGCTCCTCCATGCTACACCTACTGTTTAGCTCCAGAGGAGGAGGAGGTTTGTGGTGTTCCTGTTGCTGCCGCTGGGATTTCTTCTGTAACCAATTAGTCTGGTTGTGGAATTTGTTGTGGTGGGGATCAGTGGAGTAGTTGAGCTGCTGTGGATGGTTCAGATGTTCTTTTAGGGCTTTTCCATTAGCTCCACCTCGACACCAATGCTGTCTGACAGAATTTAGGAGGTCACCGCCTCCTTGCTGGCGAGGAGCTGGCTGAATTTCAGGAATAGCAGGTGCTGTTTGAACTCTGACTGGGGTTCGACCAGCTGTAGGGAGGTCTCTCGCCTCTCTAGTACTCCTTTTGTGCAGGAGAGGGGAACTGGGAAGACTCATACTGTACGCTGGTACTGGGGGAGGAGGGTAAGCATAGTCATCACTAATTCCTTCCCTGGAGGCATCTTCATCCCTGAGGGGTTTGGCTCCCTCTGAAATGATTCATCATGTGAGGACAAAACAAGACAAGTAAGACAGTTTTATGTTCACAACTGTGAGTCCAGACAGTGGGTGATGTCATTCCATGAATGCAGAACATGGTTTTGGTAGTAAATGAAGGATGAAGTGAAGAACAGAAAGGCTTCGGCTGTAGAAACAGGTGGCGGACAAACTCAACAGAAGGAACAGGGACATTTTAGAAAGGGGTGTTAAATGCAGAGATGGTCCGTATGACAGGTGGATGGTGTGGTTCTCTACTCGTCTGCTTCTGGTGACCTCATGACTCGATCAAAGACAATGGGGTGATTAGGACTAAGGACAGTAGAATGTCACAATATGTCCTCTTACCAGAGCAGCTGTGTGGATTAAAGACAGCAGGAGCTGAGCGATTGAGCCCTTGTTTCCAAACTTCTGCATTTTGAGGACACAAATGAAAATTTCCAGTTGACCCATAACGGGGGAGAACGTTGCAGGGCTGATTCTGGTGAAGCAGCGAAGCCCTGGCCTCCAATCTAAGCTCTTCCCCTGACCACGCTCTTCTAGCAGGAATGAGGCGCTCTAAAGTCAGGCGACGAAGGCTGCTCCAGCGTCCAGCACTCATGCCTTCCTCACCTCCTACAGTTCTCCCTTTCACTTCTCTAGTCTTGGAGCACAAATAAAGGAAAGATATTGCCAGCTTAAGTTCCCTAAATGTACCTCCATTATATTTTGTCACTGCTCGACAGAGGAACAAACACTTTCATGCTCAAATATCACCAAATAGACCTATTTCTGAAGGACTTCAGCCAATGAAACAAATAACAAAAGTTTGTAGTATATAAAAGTCCTACAGAAGATGTTTGAAGATTATTGAATCTTATTATCACCAAAGTAAACTGCAGAGTATGAAAACACCTGTTAACGCTTCTATCTCACCAGGGGCTGGTTATTCTTAACAAGACAAACAATCCTCATGGCCTCTTCATCTTCAGGCAGCTCATCAGGTAGCGGTGGGAGGACAGGTAGGTAGTCTGACTGAGCCACACTGTCATGGGACGACAGCAAAGCCTGACAAACACAGGAACCATTCAACAGTCTAAACAGAAAATCATGCAGCGATAAAACGGAGAAGGAATTTTAAGTCGGACCTGGACATGCGGCGAGCTGAGGAGGTTGTAGAGCTCCTTAGCTTCAGCTGAAGGACGATGTGCTCTCTGTATTATAGTCATGATCTGACCAAGCAGGAGAACACAAGAGACTTTACCAAGTGCAGTGATTTTAGAAAACAAGTTGATTCAATAGCAGCACAGGTGCTGGTCATAAAATTAGAATATCATGACAAAGTAGATTTATTTCAGCAATTTCATTCAGAAAGTGAAACTTGTATTTTAGATTCATTCATCACAAATGTTTATCTCTTTTATTTTGATGATTATAACTAATGAAGATTCCAAATTGACCTTCTGTCAGAAATCTTGGCGTGACCTTTTACCCAGCTCTCACCCTGGATTCTCATGTCAGTTCTCTTGTTCGCTCTTCCTTCTTCCATCTCAGGAACATTGCTAAGCTGAGTCCCATTCTGTCTCGGTCTGAACTTGAGACAGTTATCCACACCGTCACCTTCATCTCCTCACGCTTAGACTACTGTAACTCTCTTTTCACGTGTCTGAGCAGAACCTCCCTGAACCGTCTACAGGTGGTTCAGAATGCCTGTGCTCGGCTTCTGACCAAGTCCTCCAAACACACCCACATCACCCCGCTTCTCCTCCAGCTTCACTGGCTGCCAGTCAACTTCAGGGTTCATTTCAAGACCCTGGTTCTGGTCTATAGGGCCTTACATGGACAAGCACCATCTTACATTGGTGATCTTCTTAGTCCCTACACCCCCAGCAGGTCCCTGAGGTCCAGTGACCAAAGCCTACTGGTTGTGCAGCACCAGGCTAAAGACCAAAGGTGACAGATGATTTGCTGCTGTGGCCCCCAGACTCTGGAACTCTCTCCCCCTGAGCCTGAGATCAGTGGACTCAGTGGTCTCCTTTAAAAAGCAGCTGAAGACTCACTTGTTCAAGCTGGCTTTTGTGTGACCTTCTTCACCACTCTCTCTTTATTCTGCTCTCCCCACCTATTCCACCTTCCTCAGGATCCACTGATTTCCCTCTTTCCTCTTCACTCTCTCTCTTTCTTAACATTTTTTTTATCACAATTGTCTATTTTTTGCTAATTTTAAATATACTTTTAAACATTTTCTAAATGTTTTTTATTTTTACATTTTTTGCTTTTGTGAAGCGCCTCATGATTTTTATCTTGAGAGGCTCTATAGAAATGATACTTTCTTCTTCAAATTTAGTTTCTCAGAATAGAATATTGTGAAAAGCTTCAATATTGAATACCCCTGGTCAGGGTTGGGGAGAATCCTTTGTAACTGTATTTAGTTACAGAACACTGAATACCTGCTTTAAAATGTATTTATGTATTATGTTACTTTACTTAATCCTGGTACTGTATTCTAAATACTTCCTCTTATAAACAGCATTTAGGTCTTAAATGTGTTGGTAGAGACTCCCACAGAAAAACAGAGGGCTGTACTGGCTGGGAAAAAAATAAATAGACAATTGAATTATTTTTATCAAAGTGTCAATAAATTATATTTATGCTCCTGTAATAAAGAGAAAAAGCACAGCATTACTTTCTGTAAAATTGTAACCAAAGCAGCCCCGAACATCTGGTACCAGTCTAATCACAGTTTGTTGGGTGGGACGCTGCATCTTCTTCGACTGCCCCATGAGCTAAGACTAACATCTTTAGCGGGTCCAATCACACCACTCTGTTTGGTGGGCCAATCACAGTGCTCTATTGGATTGGTGCATTGTGGGTAACACATTTTTATTAGGTGTGGGTTGTCAAGCTCTTACTGGCAGGGTTGTGTGGATGTTGTTAATTTTTGTTCCGTGTTCTGATGGCGCCATTTTTGTTAACATTGTTTCCCACCATAGGAGGGGGTTCCATGTGGAGGAATGGGACCACTGTGCCGTTCGGCTGTTTTTTAGCATACAACACTGTAATCTCAGGTTTCAGTGTTCTTGCTCTAGCTGAATTTGAACTATTAACATTCTGCTCCATCCATCACATTGGTATGGCAGTCATTACACTATTTATTCACATTAGTGATGGGAACCGGTTGTTACGACTTGGCTCAGTAAAAAGGCTCTCAAACGGCTCCTTACACATTTTATTTTTGTTTTTTAAATACATTTTTAATTTGGCACCAGAAATTATGTAAAATGTGTGTGACATTATGGACCAATCTACAAATTTATCAACTTTTTATAATCTAAAGAGAGACTTGGCAGCTTTGGCTTGATTTTAGATGGTCTCAGTCTAGTTCTGTGGGCTACACAGTGTAACGGCATGAAGGTTCTCTGATGTGTGGCAAAGGTCACATTTGCCCAGCTGGGTCAAACAGTGCTTTTGAATCCACAGATTAACCCAAGGAGCCACGATGTCTGCTCAAGATCATAACACCAGTACCTGCTGTTCCGTCCCAGAAGGACACTGCAAGTCACGATGATAATAATTAGATAATAATTAATAAATTAATTGATTTTATTACTGTTTAATATAATCATCATAACATGATCACTTGGTTCAATATAAAGGTATTTTAATTACATGAAATGGATTATCATGCTTTGGGTACAATAATAATTATTAAAGTGATTATAAAGATGTGTTCAGCAAACAAAGTCAAGTTCACCTTATCCAGCTAACACAGAGTTCAGATAACAATAACTTCATCACGTTTTTGACGCATGATCAAGCTTTCTTCCGGCGAGAGTGGGAGTGGTCTGAGAGCTTTTGGTAAAACTAACCATCACAGATTCAAGTCAGTTCTGGAACCAAACATCCTGAGGACCCAGGGACGGCCACCCTGACCCTCTGCCTGCTGTTCCAGTCACGCCGACCAGAATAGCTAAAGAATAAACGAAACTGTCACCAGCTAACGAAGACTCTACCAGAGTCATTGATTTCTGAAGTTAAGACGAGAACGTCCATCTGCCAAACGCTTGATAAACCGTGTACCCTGCTACCACTCTGGACCAGACGATCAGACACTCGCGTCTTCCCTGCCAGCCCCGAGTGTCATCTTGGATGAACCCATCCTCCCGATCTCCGGATCCACAAGAGGGTCAGCTGTTTGGGTGAGGTAGAACACGAGAATGCATTTGATGCTGTTTCTCTCAAAATAACCCAGTTATCCGCAAAACATCATTTCCACCCAGAACGCTTTCATTCTCTCTGAAAGAAACCTTCTGAGAACTTCATTCACGCATCCAAAACTCACCATTCTCATTTTAGCTCAATTCAGTCACAGGTTTGCTTTTAAACAAGTTTAATATCAAAACTGTTAAAGATTGTCATTAAAATTGCCATCCATGAATTGTCATTTCATAATAGTCGTTTCAAATCTTCCAGTTTAAAATTGTCAGTAATAAATTTCTTCATTTTTAAACTTGCCTCATTATTGAAACGAAACACAGGAAAGGTACAATATTTCTGGTTATTTGAAAGCAAAGATCCTAGCTTCTGATTTAAAATAACTTTTGCTATTAAATTTAATTATCTAAATTAAACATTAATCTTTGGATTACAATTAGATCAAACAGGTTGATGTATGAACTTAGATCAATATATAAGTATCCGGGATATTTATATATATGATACAAGCTTCATAGGTTAATCTGATTGGTCATTTTTCGCAATCTCCACTGCATAGCAACAGAGGTGATTTCAGTGTACAGATTAACTCTACAACAGTCATGGGGAAAACTGCTGACTGGACAGTTGTCCACAAGACGACCTTTGACACCTTGAACAAGGAGGGCAAGACCCAAAAGGTCACTGCTAAAGAGGCTGGCTGTTCAGAGCTCTGTGTCAAAGCACATTAATAGAGAGGAGAAGGGAAGGACAAGATGTGCTAGAAAAAGTGTACAAGCAGTCAAAACTGCACCCTGGAGAGGATTGTGAAACAAAACTCATTCAACAATGTGGGGATATTCACAAAGAGTGGACTGCAACCAGTATGAGGACGGGGGTGGGGGTGTCGTCTTTACAGTAAGCATACAAAAAAATGTATAACACTACAGCCTAGAGGCTCCTTTTGTCATGTTGACAGGTGGAGGAGTAGGACCCGATGTGCAGACACCCAGAACGACACGGAGCAGGAGAGGATGTAAAATGAAACATCTTTCTTAAGATGTAAATCCAACACAAAAACAAAGCACGGTACGAAGCCAGAAAATACCAAAAGGGGCAAAGCCCAAAACCTAGAGACCTAAAGGAGGGTGAACAAAACAACACTGACACGAAACAATGAACCAACACCACATTGAGACGCAGACAGGGTTAAATACACTGGGGCAGGATGAGTGGGAGATGAGCTGCAGGTGCGTGGGGAGAGAAACCTAGTGAAATCAATCAACTAATCAGGGAGAAGAAAGTGAGCTGAGGAGGGGAAAATAACATGACCTAAGAATAAAAACAAAACCTAAAGACAAGAAGAGCAAGATAAATAACTAATGATCTAAGGAGGGAGGAGAACTAAAAAACCGATGGGGAAAGAAACACACTAAAAGAGACTAATTAAAAGAAAAGCTGAACCTATAGAAAAACTACAGAGGGGTGACTAGGGGAGACCAACGGGAGCACAGGACCTGGGGGGGTGGGGGGGATACCTGGGGGGAGAACCTAGAGGGGCTGCAGACAAGGGGACACATGAGGAACACAAGGAGACACATGAGGGAGACGCAGACCATGACACTTTTGTGTAATGCTCGGCAGCCTCGCCTCTGTCAGTATGTCCCAGGGCGGCTGTGGCCACAATGTAGCTCTTCACCACCAGGGAGTGACAAGTGAATGATTCACCGTAGTGTAAAGGCTCTATACCAGTGTAGGTTCTTTATCAGATAAACTGTTCAGTAGTGAGCTGAAGGCTGTAGAAAGTGCTAGACAAATAAAAGTTGGTTGACTGATTCAAATATAACCATGAAGTATGAATATATCTGACTCAAAAGTGACCAGACAGTACAGCATGGACTAAAATACTATTTGCACACACTCACTCACCTCTTCTGACAGTCCTGAAGCATAAGGCAGGAATGGGCTTGGTGCTATTCTCTGAAACTCCATCAGGCACTCATAAATCTGTAGATTCAAGAGCGAATCATCGGTTAAAATATATTTGTTTAGTTTACTTGGAGAGTGAATAAATCAAGTACCCTTAACAAGGAGCGTAGCCATGGTGCACTCAGGAGTTCATGCAGAAGCTGAGCACCACTGATGTTCCTGTTGACAGCTTCACTGATGTCCTCCACTACGCTGGACAACATACCGCTGATTTCTGCACACAAACACACGCGGGTGGGAGAGTTTACACACTATTCATGAGTTTAATATTAACAGTCTTATTTCATGTATTTGCAAATGAATCCTAATCACATTTCCTAATTCATCCCTACTCCCGCATTTATAGTTGATTTTGTGCTCAGCTAAAGGTAATAATGAGATACAGATTCAAAGTCATGATGCTACACTGAAAAATCAACAGATACAGGTGAAATAAGAGGAGGTAGAGCTGAATTTACAAGAAACACTTAAAGACGTGAACACGTAAGGTTTTATAGAAACTGACTCAAAGGTGCGTGTTTGTTTCCTCACCATCTTCCATACTTTGTCTCATGGTGAGCATCCGGAACAACAAAGGGGAAGAAAAGGACTTCTGAAAAAAGAAAATACATGAAAATGGAATGTGTTACATGTTTGTAATGACCCTCACATGACTCTTTACCATCGAATAATAGAAACTCAGCTAAAAAAAAAGTTTGTTGATCAAACTTTTTGATTTCAAGGAGCCTAAAAAAGCTGATTGTTTAAGTATAAGGAAATAAAAAATAACAAGGAGAAGTTTTAGATTTTCTAATACTAGGAAAAGGGTAAAATGGCTGTGGGTCTGCAGCCTTGGTGAGAGGAGTGGAAACAGCCGGCAAACCAATACCACCAGGAGGAGATTCTATAGCCCCCTTCAGACAGGCCATGAAAAACGGAAATGTTCCGGACTCTGTCCTTAAGACCTTTGTGTCTGAATACAAACATCCAGATAACCTTTTCCGTAATTAAACCGGACGAGGCCCCTAGTAACAGGACCGGACTTGTCATGGACAGGGTGGCTGCTTCAGACTGGTGGGGTCAAGTTCCAGACAGGGAGGAGGGGGAGGTGGAGGGGACCGGGGGACGCTGTGCGCACCTAGATAGCTCGCTCCTGTAGCATGCGGTGAACCATGGCAGCTCGCCTCCTACGGTACTGTCTCCTAGACGTGCGATGGAGTGCTTCACACCGCTTCCTTGATTCCTTTATTAACCATTGAGCTTCATCATCCAGGTCTCTTATGCGTCTTCGTGTGCGCAGAATTATGCTTAACATAAGTCCGATCAGTGAGAGGAATTCTATGTCTTTGTCGGCCATGGTTGACTGAATGGCTTTGTTTGGGTAAATGACGCATGTACGCCCGCCGCACTATCTGGGTACAGCCTTCCCACCCCCTCCCCCTCAGACATCTGGAACTTTTCCCTGCTGTGTGAAGGCAGCCGAAAGGACAAGTTCAGGTACAAAAGTGGTGTGTCTGAAAACACAGTTCTGGTTAAAAACCGGGCTGAATTGTCCACACATATTCCAGAATGTCAATCTGAAAAGGGTTTATGTGACACAAGCAAAGATTTGTGTAGTAAATCTTGGGTTATTCTGGGTTATTTTAGCCTCATCTAGGTTACTTGTGGCATCTAAACATCCTCCTCCCTGTTCTATGACCTGACTGCACAGTCCTGCAGGTATAAAGTATTTCTTGGTAATCCTATATATAACTTGCTAAGTACATGGTACTGATTTAGTTTCTTGACCAGATGGCTCATTAGAACATTTTGTCAGAATCAAAAACATCTGTCTTGCAATCTGAAAAGAGGGTGAGCTGATTGACTGCAGCTGCTGGCCTAAATACTAATCACTGTCTGTCATTCCTACTTTTGCTTTAAATACCTCTCTGAGTAGACTTTATTGCTTTAATATTACTGAACACAGCTATACTTGACTTAACTCGTCATAGCTGGAGGGTGTGTGTGTGTGTGTGTGTGTGTGTGTGTGTGTGTGCGCAACCCACAACACAATCTACCAGACGCAAGAGTAGCACAACGTGGTTATGTTGAACATCCTGTACCGTCAATGGCTTTTCATCCATCTCTAAACCTAGAGATGGCTGTGGGTGGTGGCCAGCAAGCAGAAGACTCTGGAACCATAAGGGACTCCACCCCCTAGGCAACCAGTGGCCAATAATTGTTGATGTTGCGTTTTTGGCCTGGCTTGGAACACTTGGAGCTACATCGAAGCACACACAGACAAGTCAACAGCAACAAAGATCAATTGTTGATCCAAATGCTTTCCAACTGAACCCAATCAATTCAAGTCGTGCCCAGTAGGGCTGTTGGAAACCCTCCATGATTTACAATGTTGGGCATCTTATATGAAAAAAGTACTTATGGGCATTCCCATCTGTACCTGGGCGGCCCTGCCCGGATAGCTCCAGTCGGCTCCAGCCTGGCCCGGTTGATTCCACACATCCTTGCTTAGGTATGCAAGGAATGCAGTCAGAGACCTTTTCAGCTTCTAGGTAATCAGCATAATAATGAATTGAGCATGCCGTAAGGTTGGTTTATGCTTGACGTGTCCGCGAGGTTTGCACGGCTCCGCGCAGAAAAGTTGCATCATTTTAACAACCACGCACCTCCACCGCGCCTCCGCACGGCCCAAACTTTCCGCACCATGCAACTAGGAAATTTTCTAACCATGCGGATGGTCGGACGCGGAAAAACATGGCGGACTGGTAAGAACTAGTATGGCGGAGGTTCGTAAATACAGACCTTTGTATGATTCAGCTCTTAGAGATCACCGTGATCAACATGTTAATAATTCTTGGAGAAATAGCTCGCACTGTCGGAAAAGACGAGCACGCTGTTAAAAAATGTTGGAATGCCATGTTGTAAACAACAGTAATTTTTACTTCTACTATGGTGTAGGGTAAATGCTGCCCCCTACAGTTTGGGAGAATATTGGCTCACCGCAGAGACAAGCCGCATGAACCATAAACTCTGCAAGTTGTGAAGCGCGTTCCATCCGCGAGCCGCATCACCAAGCTGAAAGTAAATGCGTCAAGCATAAACCAAGCTTAAAGCTCATGTGGGCTGATTCTACCCACCAATCAGAGGCTTGCTCTAATGGAAGGTGTGAATTTGCTGACTGATAAGCCGGCTTGTCAGTCAGCAGTGGGTGTGTTGGCCCTGGTCAGCCTGAAGCAGACCACCTCAGAAAGAGGGCTGAAAAACAGTTTTGTTGCACCCTGAAAAAAGGCAGGCCACCAAGATATGTAAGCAAGCTACAGGTGCTGGCCAGTAAATTAGAATATCATCAAAAGGTTGAAAATATTTCAGTAATTCCATTCAAAACGTGAAACTTGTACATTATATTCATGCAATGCACACAGACCAATGTATTTCCGATGTTTATTACGTTTAATTTTGATATTTATAGGTGACAACCAATGAAAACATCAAATCTGGTATCTCAGAAAATTAGAATATTCTAAAGGCCAATGAAAAAATGTTTGTTTCTCTAATGTTGGCCAACTGAAAAGAATGAACATGAAAAGAATGTGCATGTATAGCACTCAATACTTAGTCGGGGCTCCTTTTGCCTCAATAACTGCAGTAATGCGGCGTGGCATGGACTCGATCAGTCTGTGGCACTGCTCAGGTGTTATGAGAGCCCAGGTTGCTCTGATAGTCGTCTTCAGCTCCTCTGCATTGTTGGGTCTAGCGTATTGCATCCTCCGCTTCACAATACCCCATAGATTTTCTATGGGGTTAAGGTCAGGCGAGTTTGCTGGCCAATCAAGGACAGGGATACCATGGTCCTTGAACCAGGTGCTGGTGGTTTTGGCACTGTGTGCAGGTGCCAAGTCCTGTTGAAAGGTGAAGTCTGCATCCCCATAAAGTTGGTCAGCAGCAGGAAGCATGAAGTGCTCTAAAACTTCCTGGTAGACGGCTGCATTGACCCTGGACCTCAGGAAACAGAGTGGGCCAACACCGGCAGATGACATGGCACCCCACACCATCACTGACGGTGGAAACTTTACACTGGACCTCATGCAACGTGGATTCTGTGCTTCTCCGCTCTTCCTCCAGACTCTGGGTCCTTGATTTCCAAAGGAAATGCAGAACTTGCTTTCATCAGAAAACATAACTTTGGACCACTCAGCATCAGTCCAGTCCTTTTTGTCCTTGGCCCAGGCGAGACGCTTCTTGCGCTGTTTCATGTTCAAGAGTGGCTTGACACACGGAATGCGACACCTGAATCCCATGTCTTTCATGAGTCTCCTCGTGGTGGTTCTTGAAGCGCTGACTCCAGCTGCAGTCCACTCTTTGTGGATCTCCCCCACATTTTTGAATGGGTTTGTCGTCACAATTCTCTGCAGGGTGCGGTTATCCCTAGAGCTTGTACACTTTTTTCTACCACATTTTTTCCGTCCCTTCGCCTGTCTGTTAATGTGCTTGGACACAGAGCTCTGCGAACAGCCAGCTTCTTTAGCAATCACCTTTTGTGTCTTGCCCTCCTTGTGCAAGGTGTCAATGATTGTCTTTTGGACAGCTGTTAAGTCAGAAGTCTTCCCCATGATTGTGGTGCCTTCAAAACAAGACTGAGGGACCTTTTAAAGGCCTTTGCAGGTGTTTTGAGTAAATCAGCTGATTAGAGTGGCAGCAGGTGTCTTCTATATTCAGCCTTTTCAGAATATTCTAATTTTTTGAGATACCAAATTTGGAGTTTTCATTAGTTGTCACTTATGAATATCAAATTTAAATGTAATGAACATTGGAAATACATTGGTCTGTGTGCATTGCATGAATATAATGTACAAGTTTCACGTTTTGAATGGAATTACTGAAATATTTTCAACCTTTTGATGATATTCTAATTTACTGGCCAGCACCTGTATGCTACCCGGGCCGGGCCGAACAGGTACAGATGGGAATGGCCCATTAGTTATAGTAACAGAGTTGGGAGTATAATGACGTTTCTAACAGCGTTCTAATTTTAGGTAATGGAATATTCTAATTATTACATTTCCCATTGTTGCAACGCCGTTATAGTTACGGGGCCTGTAAAGTGGCGCGTGAATGAAATAACAGACTGGTTTCCAGTGACAACAGGAGTGAAACAAGGGTGCTGTATGTCAGGATTTTTGTTCCTACTGGTGATAGATTGGGTCATGAGGAGAACTGTGGAGGGTAAAAGAACCAGAATCAGATGGATCTTCATGATCATGCT